AATTAAACAATAGATTTGAATGGATTGTGAGTTACCACTAAACAAAAACCTCACAGCAGATTCATCACAGCAGCTCAAATCCAAACTAATGAATTTGTGTTTAAATTGATCTTTTTGTTTAGTTTACTGGTAGCCTTCATGCAGACAAGCACCAGTCTCATAATTAATTGTTCCAATGTGTCACTATACTTATGCCTCTCCTTTCCATTAGAAATATCTATAGGACAATTTAATCTTTTTTTTTTTTTTTTTTTACAAAAAACAGCTGAAACCCCCTTCTAGGAGTGTAAACCAGAACAAAACAAATTGTCGTTCTGTGATATTTTGCTGTGTGTGTGGGAGAAAACAAAAAAACAAAGCCTGCTTGGGACTCCAGAGCACATCTGGTTGGTGTGATCATTTGAAAAGTTGAAGAACAATCGAGCGGTGCTCGTCCTTTAAGGGCGATCAAAGTGACTGACGCAGGTTTATAAGAACTTAGCTCTCCTGGAAACCATCAAGCCACAGCTAAGGAGATTATTGACATTAGTTCTTGAAACTAAAACACTTGCAGGTTGTAAATATTCTGAAAGTCTTGGTAGAACATCCCTTTTTAATATATTTATTTCAATGTAAAAACATATTAAAAATGACTTGGAGCTATGCTCAGTCCACTGTGGAGAGAAGAAGAGAAATTCAAGCAAGTTTGAAAATAAGAAACTCCAGGACAATTTGTAAAAGACAATTCCAGATGTTGAAAGGGGCGGGGCTACAATGACTGACAGTTCATAACAGGGTCAACCCAGAAACACACAACACTTAATGTCAGAATACACCAATTAATCAAAAAAGGCCTCTGATATTCCAGAGAAATTTTGCTTTGAAGCAATTAACAACTTTTTACAGTTTATTTCAATTGTCATTTACAACTTAACTTTTTTTATTGAAACGTCACCACATGCTAAATTTTAAGTGCTGAACTTTTCAAATGCTTATTCTGAATCCATGAACAAAAGAACTGAAATAAAACCCTGACAGTAAAAACGCACATCATCGACGTGACTGAGCAGCTTTGGAATTCATGCAGTTCTTGAATCCAAAAAATGTTAATTATTTTAATCAAAACATAAGTAATATTCAGAAAAATAGTTGGCATGTATTTTTTTCTTGTCCTTTAAGGGCTTGAGATGCTCCATTTACAGATTATGTTAGAGATGTGTGCAAAACCGTGCAATGAACTCTTAATTTCTGATGAGCTTGAATATTGTCAAAGTCCCTGTGACAGTCTGGCATAAAGTAGGACAGTAAACTTTCTCTTTTGTTTTTGCAGACACAATATAGAGTTCAGTAAAAATACAAAGCAACATTAATAAATTATACTTCTTAAAAGAGGCCTTACTTCATTAATCCCACACTCATTCTAAAACGAGTAAAAATTGTATACATGAGACAAAATGTTACCATAAAAATGTTCCTTAAATATAATAAAGAGTACAATCTATGCGCTTCATGGGATGCAGCACTAATGATGCAGAAACAGCTGTGTTTGCTGCCACCTTGTGGTTAAACTGAGAACAACATTTATATTTTAATAGTTCTGTTAATCACATTTTTCTGAAAACAATTCATCGAGGCAAAAACACAACACTTACACAACTTCAATAAAACTTAACACACAAGTTTTTTGTTTTTTTTGTCCTGACCCTTGAAGGCAAGCGGCCACACAGTGTAGTAGCGGGCCCAGTTGTGTGTGGGTCCTGGCAGGTCCAGATACCACGGAGAGGCCAGAATCACCCTGAGCCCGGCTTTAACCACCCTGCGTACTTCACACAGGTAACAGCCCTGTTTCCAAACTTCCACCACTGACAGAGGACGGTGCTGCAACACAAAGCTTCACAACGTTAGATTAAATTCACCCGACGTCATCAGACGACACACGGATCTAAACGCTGATCGACTAATTCACTTGAAACCAATAAATCTGCCAACTTTAAAATGGCTTTGTTATACAGACAATGTATGGAATAAAAATGAAATTATAATATATAGCTCATTCTTTAAGAATCACAAATACTAATCTATTTTAGTCAGAAAATATTCATTTTGTTTCAGTTGTATGAACATATGTGACTGTTCAAATATATTTACTGTATATGTTTATACGTATATATATTTTATATTATTATTATTATTAATCACAGCCTACTGTATATATGTCCTCCTATAAAAACTAACAAACACAAAACTGTTAACCCTAAAATAAAATAATGACACAAGTTATTTGTTGGAGGGTACTCACTTGTTTATTATTGTCAAAAACCTCCTGCCATACAACAGACGTCTTGTTGAGAGTTGATGTGATGTTTGTAATTCTGTTAAAACATGTATGCATTAGTGTGTCAATAAATACAGTATGTTATTTTCTCATAACTTTCTATAAATATGCTTCCCCTGTAGCTTACTTCTCCATGTGGAAAGCTTCCAGTTTAAGGAAGTCAACTCCAAATCCCATCTTCTGCATGAATGCACGGATGTAAGGGTTTGATCTCCTACGGAAAGTGGGAGATATTTACCTTAATGCTTTATAAATTAATGTTTACTTATAATTTTGAAAAGTTAAGTTACAGGTAAATATTACTGTCTTTTTTTTTTAACGTAAATTTTACAATGTACTGTAATTTTCAATGGTTAACTCGCCTACCAGCAAGAATGGTCAACCTCGTCCCCTCCTAAGTGGACATAGGAGTCAGGAAACACTGAAGCCACTTCCCTAAACAGTGATGTCATGAAGTGGTAGGTGGATGGTAAAGCTGGGTTTACAGGTCCAAAAGTGCCTGAAGGAGCACCCCATTTGTAGCAGGGTGTCAACAAGTCAGACTGCCCTGAGAAACCCATGGAGATCAGTGTTATTTACATTGTGTGGTCTGTCTGTCTGTCTGTCTGTCTGCCTGTCTGTCTGTCTGTCTGTCTGTCTGTCTGTCTGTCTGTCTGTCTGGGTCACAGGGTCACTGGTGTGAGAGGTGGGGGACACCCTGGACAGGTCTCCAGTCCATCACAGGGACACTAACAAGACAAGCAAACTTGAAGTAATACCTGTCACCTGTCACCTTGTGCATACTAATCACCTAATGCAGAGAAGGGATGGAGTTGTAGCTGATTTGGTCAAATCTAGAAAAGATTAATGTTATGTGCACTCTTGTGCAATATCACAAGATGTCACGCTTAGAGTGTGTGTTGTGAATGACTCTCAGCTACTACCACATCCAGTTTGAGCTCAGTATCTGTGAAAGTGACTGAGTTATTTTTGTGTTGGCCACTGTGGATTAGCTGAGACAATGTACAGTTAGATTGGTGACAGACCGTTCCAGCTGTTGGTGGATTACACTGGTGGACAGATCTGGAGTTCATGAAAGGGTCAAGACAGAAACGCATTTAGAATAAACATTATTCAGATTATAATGTGTTTTATGGCATTCACAGTCGAGATCTGGATCTAGTTACCAGTAAACATGTTTTAAGTGCTACTCATTCTGACTCATAACTGTACCTTTTCCCCAAGATTGTGTGTGGCCTGGAGTATCAAACTCTGGAAGGACTCTTATTCCCCTCATTCTGGCATATGAGATCACCCTTCTCACATCCGACTGTCTGTAGACGTGAGTCATTGGATGGAAAGCCCCCTGAATTAAATCCAGAGGTCTATGGTCAGAGCAGAGGTTGTTTTCCAGCACACATTCATTCACATACAGTTGATCTGTTCCCAAGAAAAATAATCCCAGGACGCTTCAAAGAAAACACTGGTTAAATTAACAACTCTCTCCAGATTACATACCTTAACAGAAAGGTCTGGAAATGTTTGACTCTGGTAAGGGAAGGAGGGGTCATCAACAATGTGCCAGTGAAACACGTTAAACTTACTGTAAGCCATTGCATCCTATTGAGAAACAATATAAATCCAATGATCATATGTGAAATCAATTCAGCAGAAGCCCCAAGTTGAGACGTTATCTGAGTATTACCAGGGTTTTCAAAATGGCCTGCACAGGTAAATAATGGCGTGATGTGTCCAGTAAAATCCCCCTGTATGGAAACTGGGGGAAGTCTTCGATGTCAGTCTTATTTATAAAATACTGAAAAGAGGAAAGAACAAACAGAAACAATGATCAATAGCTACACCATCAACACATGTTATAACTAGACACTGGACTGGAAGCTGGAGGTTGAGGTCACAAAGAACAACCACTCCCCACCCCCATGTTTTACAATACTAAACCAAGGTATCGTTCCCATGATTTGAAAGCTGAAAACAGCAGGACCTGTTTAAGGAAGCTGCTGTTTTTTTGGTTTGTTTGTTTGTTTGTTTGTTTTTCTGGAACCACAGTCTGCACTATGTATATGAGGACCAGCCTGTACGGATGCTGATCCTCTTCTACCTTCAACTGGGATCTCGTCGCATCAAGCTTTATACTTTGCAGACTTTGGCACCCCCTACTGGCTGGCTAGAGCATAGTATTTCAGGCCCGCACCTCATATAAACAAATGTGACATTTTCCTGACTAAAACTAAAAATATCCTCAGATAATTTGTATCAGGCATAGATTTTTGTTGGTTCACATAAGTTCTATCATGCTGTTGTATGTTCCATTATTTATACTATTTTATTATTTAACGTTTTATGCTAATTTCAGCTTTTTCAACTAAATTCACCTTTTTTGCAATCAATTCAACTTTTTTCAGCCTGATTCAGCAAAATCATGCTCTACCCACTTCCTTCTGGTAACTTAAGCTTCTTTCTGTTTGTATTAGCTACTATTCAGATCATTTTGGCCAATTTCAGCTTTTTTCACATAACTTAAACTGTATTGGGCTAATTTCTGCCTCTTTCAGACTTACCAGGCACAATTCAGCTCAGTTCACTTCCTTTTGGAAATTTAAGCTTCTTTCTACATTTCTGTTCCCCAATCAGCTGTTTGTTTGTTTGTTTGTTTTTTGTTTTGTTTTTTTTTGGTGGGGGGGGGGGGGGGGGGAGGAATTTCAGCTTCTTTAAGATAATTTCCACATTTGCTTTCTTCTGCTAACTTAGGCTTGTTCTTCCTTTTCCGCTAAATTTTTGCATGTTGTTTTAGCTAACCTCTGCTGTTTGTAAGCAAGTTCTTCAACAAGAAGCATTCACACTTGCATATTCACAGGAAATGCAAATTCTCTAGTTTTATTATTAATTTTTTTTTAATGTGGCATGCGACACTTCGATTGACCCTATGACAGCCTGTTAGAGAGCTTGGACGGTGGTGATTAGGTAAGAGTGATGGCACAGCCCCATGTTCCTTGTGTACAGACTTTGGCTACAAAAATTCAACATATCAGCACCCAAATAAACTGATAACATGTCTTTGATTTGGAAGAAATGAATTAAGTCGCTTAGTCCATTTTTATTTATGTCAGTGATCTACAGCTGATAGGCTGGAGAGCTGGAGATGTAATTACCACACAGACCTTTTGAATTGAAACTTTAGAAAGAGTTTAACTTACTGAGCCAGCATTATCTTGATACACCAACTGACTAAAGGTTTCCAGACCTGTGCTTAAACAAAAAAAAAACATACATTAATATGCACACAAGACATTTGCCATCACCAACACTGGAGCTTTAATCAACTGTATTAATAATAATTACCTCTTAAAGCACCCCACACAGTTTCTGCATTCAAACGTGCTTGTCCAGCAGAGACGCTTAGATTATCTAATTAAAAAAAAACATATAAAATTATTTAATGTGCAGCTGTTACCGCTCTCACCACTGTATCATACATTATATACTGTAATCTATGCGTGTTTATACTTACATCTTTCAGACGAGTCCTCATTTGGGTAACTCTCACAATCACGATGATCAACGCTGATTTCAACAGTAAATGGTTCATCCACAATGAATCTTGGTTTATGGTTCCCTATTGGTCAAAAGTGTAATTATTGTGGTTGTTTGACATTTCAAAGGGATGTAAATATATCCTTTATGTCACAAATAATAATAATAATCTTGTTGACATGCCAAACAAGAAAATGTGTAGTGCTGTCTATTGTTATAGAGTGTTATGTCAAGGCTATAGGCTGGCTGACTGGTGAATTGTTGTCATTACAAAGAGCATTCATAAAGGCAACAAAACACTAAAAGCAAAACTACAGAGCCCTCTCTAGCCATGTGCATTTATAATTATTAGGTTGAAAATGTGTTATTGCTAAAACATATACAAATACTATCTACAGACAATCAGATAGCAATAAAATACTGTTATACGCCTTTTGTTGTTATATATTTGTACAAATACGGCAGTGAATATGACACTTCAGCTCTAACTGATTAAGTACTGACAGGGCTAAAATTATGACATAGCCTATTTCTCATCCCATTACGCCGTTCATCATCACTTACCAGCAGCGCTGTTGGGGAATATGAGAGTAAAGTATCTCTTGAATGCAGCATCCAGGACAGAACAGCCCCTCTGTGCGGCTGATTGTCTTCTGTAGCCAAAGTGGAAAGACTGGGGCTCCAGTTGATATCGTACTGCGGAGGTGGTGAAGGTTTGTGGTAAGGGCCATACTCCCTCTGCTGTGTGTAGGCTGCCCTGAAGAATGACCCAAAGGAGCAAATTATTAATTATACGAATGAGTAGTCCAGATCTTTCTGAACACATGATGTTTATATCTGTGTATTGTTTGTCAAACTGAAGCCAAATACCTGCTCTCTGATGCCTATAGGGGCACACAGTCACGTGAATAGACTATTGTTTGTGGATATATAAAGCTGCGGAAGCCCATTACTGCCACTTTGAAAAAAAAAATCCTCTGAAAAAAGCATCCATGCATAAATAAAAAAGTTAGATGTTAACTCATTTAATAAAATAGGATTAAAAACATGATTTACACACACATCTAGTTAATTTAACTCAAGCTGGCTCCTGTCTTAGGGTGGCATCGTCACTCTTCCCGGTACCTTCAAAACGCAAACACTGGAAACATGCTTGAAGTGTAGAAGCAATGCTGCTGAAAACACAGATGGAAAAGTGCAAAATAAAAATATATTTGAACATTTTTAAAAGTGATAGGAGTCATCATCGTTGTATGGGAACATACAATGACATTTTACCCATCACACATGCGATATGCCCAAGTAGATGTTTTCAAAGATGTAATTGCCTGGGGAGCAGTCAGGGAATATTGTTTTTGCTCAAGGGCACCACAAAATATGAGCATGGTGGGGAGACAAACCTGTATGTACTCAACTAAAAATATTTAACAGGGAGTACATTGCTGAAAAAGGTGGAGAAGTCAAAATTGCAAGATACTATCTCAAATTGATGACTTAGTTTTGCATAAATATTGACTTTTGAATTAGCATATCATAAAATAATAAGGTCCGTGCTCAATAATCCAGGTATACAATCCATTTTTATCTTTGAATTATGATTTACTATAACTTGCCATTTCATATTTATGACTTAGCATTTTAAAATTATGATTCAGCATCTCATAATTATGAGATACTGTCTCAGAATTATGACTTAGCATGTTTTAATATGAGATGCTATGTTATAAATCTGAGATGTCAAGTCGTAATTTGTAATAATATCTCATAATTTATGACTTACACTACAGTCACACTGCAAGTCTTCATGCTTTGCTCCAGTTTTTTGTGTGGTCATTTGCATTATAATTCAAATGTGACTGCAATCAGACTCCAGTGTGAACGGCGTCTACGGCCATGAAGGCACTTGCATGTGCAGAAGCCGCGACATCACATGCAGCATGTTATGTTTACAGAGCGAGCCATGGATGCTGCACATGTTAGCATGTGTGTAGCGATTCTCAAGTTTGTGATATTGACATAACTAAATTGTTTTCTGCTATGCTTGTTTCATCCAATGTTTACATTTGGTCTTGCAGCAATTCCTGCTTGCCTAGATGCAGAATTGTACTTCTAGAATGGGAGCCAATGAAACAAACTTTATTATTGATCCCATCATATCAACATGATCCAACTTGTTGGTAAACTGTTGGTGTTAATGCAGGACATCCATCTATCATCTTTACCTGCTTCTTTCTTTCCAGGTTGCTGCCCATGTCCATCAGTCACTGTGCGAGAAGCGTGGAACACCCTGGACAGATTGCAGGTTCATCACAGGGCCACATAGAGCATTCATACGCTCACCTAGGGTGAATTTAGAGCTACCAATCAGCTTAACATGCATGTTTATGGTCCCTGGCCAGGATTTGATCTGGCAACCTTCTTTCTAGTTGAGAGACAACAGTTCTACCAACTGTGCCTCCTCATCTAGGACATGAAAAAAAAAGTTTTTTTTAAAAGATAAAGCAACTGGGCTTCTTTTCTGTAGCTAATGCCCTGTGGAGTTTTGAGCTTTAAAGTGCATGGCATTGGTATCAATATTACCATTATTTGGATCAATTTGCATGCCCCTACCTCAGTGACGTAAAAACCAGATGAAATGCGACAACCTTTCAGACTGAGGCCACTTTGAACAAACATTGGATATGTATCCAGTTTAGTACCACATATAAAAAAGACCTGGGTAGGATTTGACAAAATTAAATTTGTCCCAATCAAACTGTTGTGAAACTTCTGATATGAGTCACATATGGGCCTAAAAAAAATCAGATTTGGGCTACTTTTGGTCAGAGTGTGTACTTAACCTTAAAGAACCTTTTTATTTTTCTTCAAAATGAAAATAGCTGAAATGGACTTCCATAAAAAAACTGCTATTTGGGCTAACAATATTACAACTACTGTTTCAACTAGTTTTGCTACTAATAATGATAATATTGATGTAATAATACAAGTCCACAACTTCTCCTTCTCCATCATAACCCTCAGCACTGGCTTCCCCCAGGGCTGTGTGTTGAGCCCCCTCCTGTTCACATTACTCACATATGACTGTGCACCTGCCCGTACAGGATGTCATATTATAAAGTTTGCAGATGATACAGCGATAGTTGGATGCAGCACAAAAAACGACAGGTCCAGCTACAGGCAGGAGGTGGAACACCTGGAGAGCTGGTACAGGAAGAACAACCTTCACATCAATGTGAAGAAGAAGAAGGAGATGGTCGTGGACTTCAGATGGAACAAACACAACTACCCACCCCCCTGAATATAGGAGGAGCTGCGGTGGAAGTGGTCTCCAGCTACAAGTACTTGGGTGTGCAGCTGAACAACAACCTCAGCTGGGGCAACAACACCACCAGCCTGATCAAGAAAGCTCATCAGAGACTCTACTTCCTCAGGCGGCTGAGACGAGCTGGTCTGGGAAGCCTCCACTGGGAAGTCCTCACCTCCTTTTACAGGTGTGTAGTGGAGAGCATCCTGTGCTCCAGCATCAACGTGTGGCATGGAGGCTGCACAGCTGCAGAAAGAAAAGCTTTGCAGAGAGTGGTGAAGGCTGCACAGAGTCAGCCTCCCCACCATCACAGACATCTACACCTCTAGATGCAGGAAGAGGGCCACCTGCATCATGAAGGACCCCACTCACCCAGCACACACACACTTTTTGCCTCGCTCCCCTCGGGAAGGAGGTTGAGGAGCATTAAGTGTAGAACCACTAGACTGAGGAACAGCTTCTACCCTGAAGCTGTTAAGATTCCATCCATCCATTATCTTTTACCCACTTCTTCCATTTTGAGTCACAGGGGTTGCCGGTGCCCATGTCCAGCAATCACTGTGCGAGGGGCGGGGTACACCCTGACGGGTTGCAAGTCCATCACAGGGCCACATAGAGACAAACAACCATTCACTCTCTCACACCTAGAGACAATTCAGAGTTACCAATCAGCCTAACGTGCATGTTTTTGGTCAGTGGGAGGAAACCGGAGTACCCGCAGAAAACTCACGCATGCACGGAGAGATGCAAACTCCACCCAGAAGGCCCCCGGACCGGGATTTGAACCAGGGACTTGCTCGCTGAGAGGCAGCAGCTCTACCAGTTGCGCCACCGTGCTGCCCGCTGTTACCCCACATTAATCCCTAATCAGGATTATCACTGTGAAAAAAACACTGTAATGCCACTTGATTGTTGATATGTACTGCTGATTTTCAACACTGCTGATCTCATGCTGCTGATTTATTTGGTGCTGCTGTGTTCATTTGTACTCATCTGCTCACACAGACTCATGTCCGTGCTGCTGTTGTTCAGCATATTACTGTTTTTGCATTATTAAGTGTTTAGTGTATTCTTAGTTTAGCATATTTCATCTCTTAGATCTTATTACTGTTTTTCTTTTACATTTTATGCTTTTGTTGGATGTAACTGGGACCCTACACAATTTCGTTACACCAAAGAGCCTTGACAACATTTAATAAATGTTAGTACATAATTTTGTTGCAGTCATTTTCTGTAAATGGTGAATTAGTATTTTGCTAACTGTAAATAAAGGTTGAATGAAAAAAAAAAAGAAGCCACATGACACATTGGGTAATCAATGTCAAAGAGCTGTCATTACAAATGACGGGGTTAGGCTATATACTGACAACAAAGGTAAACTAATGTGTGCAGTTTTATTTATTGACCTAGTTTTAAGTGTTACGCGAATTAAAAAGGACAAGTTTGTCATATTTTTCCCCCCACATCTCCATCTGACGTAAGGCCGCCGTCAGTTGGTGACGCTGCGTCTCTTTGTTGGCTTAGCAGTAGCGGCGACGTTTTGTTGTTATTTTCGCCGCAGCTGAAAAACAGGCTCGGAAATATCGCTTCTCGTATTGTTCCGCAACACACATCTCGCACTCGGAACCTTTAGGTGTGCTCGCAACAAGCTGGTAAACACCCTAGGAATGGACTCAGACGAGGGTTATAACTATGAGTACGACGAGGAGGACGAA